AGTAGTACTAACTGGAATAAAGTGCGCGAACTTGATCAACCAATCCACAATAACCCAAATAGCGTCGAACTTCCTCGAAGTCCGTGGGAGCCCAACTACAAAGTCCATAGTGATCCGCTCCCACTTCCACTCTGGGATCTCTAATCTCTGAAGCAAGCCACCCGACCTCTGATGCTCGTACTTAACCTGCTGACAGTTTAGACACCGAGCCATAAACCCAACTATATCCTTCTTCATCCGCCTCCACCAATAGTGCTGCCTCAAATCCCGGTACATCTTCGCGATACCCGGATGGATGGAATACCGCGAGTTGTGGGCCTCCTCAAGAATTAACTCTCGAAGCCCATTTACATTAGGCACGCATATCCGGCCCTACATTCTCAGCACGACTTCATCACCAATAGTCAGATCCCTAGCATCACCTCTCTGAACCCTGTCCTGAAGAACGAGTAAGTGAGGGTCATCATACTGACACTCCCTGATACGGTCATAAAGAGAAGACCCGGAGACCATACAAGCCAATACCCGACTAGGCTCCGAAATATCCAATCTGACAAGCTGGCCTGCTAAGGCATGAACATCCAATGCCAAAGGTCTCTTTGCTGCTGGAAGATATACTGAACTCCCCAAACTCTCTGCCCGGCGACTCAAAACATCGGCCACCACATTGGCCTTCCCCGGATGGTATAAAATAGTGATATCATAGTCCTTAAGAAGCTCCAACCATCTCTGTTGACGCAAATTAAGATCCTTCTGCTTTAACAGATACTGCAGACTTCGATGATCAGTATAGATCTCACAATGAACTCCATACAAATAATGACACCAAATCTTCAAGGCGTGAACAATGGCTGCTAACTCAAGATCATGGACAAGATAGTTCTTCTCATGGGCCTTCAACTGGCGCGAGGCATAGGCGATCACCCTACCCTCCTGCATCAAAACACAACTAATGCCTATCCTCGAGGCATCACAATACACGGTGTAAGAACCTGAAGCTGATGGCAGAACTAACATTGGAGCTGTGGTCAAAGCAGTCTTGAGCTTCTGAAAGCTCTCCTCACACTCATCCGACCACCTGAATGGAGCACCCTTTTGGGTCAATTTGGTCAAGGGCGATGCAATAGATGAAAATCCCTCCACAAAGCGACGGTAGTAACCCGCCAAACCAAGAAAGCTCCTAATCTCTATGGCTGAGGACGGTCTAGGCCAACTCTACACCGCCTCTATCTTCTTTGGATCCACCTGAATACCATCGCTGGACACCACGTGCCCCAAGAATGCTATTGAACTAAGCCAAAACTCACATTTGTAGAACTTTGCATAAAGCTTATCCTCCCTTAATCTCTGCAATACAACCCTCAAATACTGAGCGTGCTCCTCCTGGCTACGAAAGTACACCAGGATGTCGTCAATGAATACAACGACGAATGAGTCCAAATAGGGCTGGAATACACTGTTCATCAAATGCATGAACGTTGTTGGGGCATTGGTCAGCCCAAAAGACATCACCAAGAACTCATAATGGCCATATCGGGTCCTGAAAGCTGTCTTGAGAATATCTGATTCCCAAATCTTCAGTTGGTGATAACCGGACCTCAAATAAATCTTGGAGAACACCATCGCTCCCTGAAGTTGGTCGAATAAATCATCAATACGAGGCAAAGGATACTTGTTCTTGACTGTGACCTTGTTCAACTGCCTGTAATCACTACACATTCTCATGGAACTATCCTTCTTCTTCACAAATAGAACCGGTGCACCCTAAGGTGACCCACTAGACCGAATAAACCCCTTATCACGGAGTTCCTGAAGTTGTTCTTTCAATTCCTTTAACTTCGCCGGTGCCATACGATACAGTGGAATAGAAATGGGCTGAGTGCTGGTACCAGATCAATACCAAAGTCAATAACCCTGTCAGGAGGCATGCCCGGCATGTCTGCAGGAAACACATCCGAAAAATCACGTACCACCGGAACATAATCAATGACAGGAGTCTCTGCACTAAGATCCCTCACAAAAGCCAAATAAGATAGGCAACCCTTCTCAACCATGCGCTGAGCCTTCAAATATGAAATCATCCTACTTGGTACATAATCTACAGAACCGCTCCACTCAACCTTCGGAATTCCCCGCATAGCCAACGTCACCGTCTTAGTATGACAATCTAGAACAGCATGACATGGAGACAACCAATCCATACCTAATATCACATCAAAGTCAACCATATTGAGCAACAATAGATCCACTCGGGTCTCCAGACCCCCAATAGTCACCACACACGACTGATATATGCGGTCCACAATAATAGTATCGCCCATAGGAGTAGATACATGTACAGATGAAACTAAGGACTCACGGGGGCATATCCAGAAAATGGGCGAAATACGAGGAAACATATGAATACGTGGAACCAGGGTCAAATAATACTGAGGCATCTCGGTGACAAACTGAGACAATACCTATAATCACAGCATCTGAAGCAATAACGTCTGGTCTGGCAGGGAGAGCATAGAAACGGGCCTGACCAACCCCTGATCTGCCTCCCCCTCTAGTGCGACCCCTAGCTGACTGACCTCCACCCCGAGCTGACTAGGCGGGTGGTGAGGTAACTGGTGCTATAGTCGGAGGTTGACTCCTCTGCCGAGATAGACCTCCATGACGACGAGGACACTGCCTCCATATATGCCCAAGACCCCCACACTCAAAACAACTCCCTGGTGCTGGTGGCAAAAACTTAAGGGAACCCCTAGCACCGGGATGACTGGTAGAAGAACCTGGCATAGAAGAGACCTGAACAGGTGGAGCACGGGACGAACTCTGAACTGGAAGAGCACTAAGTGATGAGTGGCCCTGATGAGAACTGTGAGAACCAGGCTAGATGATGCACCCCGATGAAATGGCCCATCTGACTGAGCCTGTCTGAAATGACGACCTCTACCGTGCTGGAACTGACCCCCCAAAGGAGCACCGCTGAATCTACCCTGACCATGAGGCCTCTTGGCCTCCCGCTCAACTCTCTCTTGACCGCGAATCATCTCAATCTGCCGAGCAATGTCGACAGCCTCATCAAAGGTAGCACCCGAAACCCGCTCCCTGGTCATGAGCAACTGTAGCTGATAAGTGAGGCCATCAATAAACCTCATGATCCTCTCTTTGTCCGTGGAAACCAACCATATAGCATGGCGGTCCAACTCAGAGAATCGCATCTCATACTGTGTTACAGACATATCGCCCTGGCGAAGCCGCTCAAATTGTCTGCACAGCTCCTCTCTGCGGGATCGAGGCACGAACTTCTCCAAAAAGACCACGGAGGACTGCTGCCAAGTAAGGGGTCCTGCGCCAACAGGCCTACGCCTCTCGTAAGTCCCCCACCATCTGAGTGCAGCCCCAGAAAATGAAAGGTAGTGAATGAGACCCCATAAGTTTCCAGAATACCAGCAGTACGGAGTATCCTCTGACACCTGTCCAAAAAGTCCTGAGCATCCTCTCTCTCTGTGCCACTGAAAGGTGGTGGCTGAAGTCTCCCAAACCTCTCCAACCTATGCTGATCATCCTCAGGCATAGCAGGAATCACATAATCCTGAGCAATAACAATCGGTTGGGCTGGTGGTAGCTCTGGTGTCTGAAGTCCCTGAATAATCTGCTAGGGTGTGCGAGCGATGAGAGTCTGAGTGCCTCCCCTGGCCTGAGAAGTGGCTGCGGCCGTCGAAATAGAGACCGCCTGAGCAAGGCCAGTACACGCTGTCAGAATCTGAGCTAGGGCCTCCTGAAGGCCTAGAATCACAATAGGCACAAGTGATGCCTGAGCTGGTGCATCAACAACTGGAACTTGGTCCTAATCTGGGACAACTGGTGGATCTGCAGGTACTGCCCCAGCTGCTGTATGGGTTGCACCTCTGCCCCTACCACGGCCTCTACCATGGCCTCGGCCTCTCGCAGCCCTGGATGGTGGTACTGGTAGCTGGCCCTCCTGACCGGTAGCACGAATCCTCACCATACGGACTTCCAAATAATATTACGGATACGCTTCTAAGTCCAAAATCACCATACAGAGCTATTGAAATTATCAGAATTCGAATTCGAGATCGTTTACACATAGGTCCATATCCGGTCCACTTTTCGAACTCAATTTTTCAATTATGAGACTAAGTGTCTCATTTCACTTTGAGTTCCTCCTGGACCCGAACCAACTAACCCGATATAACATAATATAGCTGAATAACACAAAAGAAGTAGAAATGGGAAAAACAGGGCTATAACTCCCGAAACGACCGTCCGGGTCGTTACACTCCGTCCCCAATCCACCGATATCCAGGCCGCCGCCATGTGGGGCTTCGCCGCGGTTAAATGAAGACATTTGTTGAAGAAGCACCAATTTAAAGGATCAAACGAAAACTAGAGACAGAACTTCTTCAGATCTCACAAGGCAAATATGAACAATCAATGCAAAATCTAAGAAAAATCTAGAATGTGTAACACAATTGTGTGAAAGAAAACGCCGGCCGGAGGAAGGGGTTAGGGGTGACACAACAAGGAAGGGGGGAAGTGGTCGCCGACCGGATCTGTCGTTGGCGAAATACAGCCCCAACTAGGGTTTCTAAAAGCATGGGAGGAAAAAACCAGGGGAAAAAGAGAAGAAAGAGGAAAGAGAAAGGAGGAGAGAGGGAGAGAGAAAAATAATACACATAGTATTTAATGGCTTAAATGTAGGAAGTAGACATAAATAGATATTTTGCTTTAAAAATTAAAAAGTAGCTATAGGAGATAAATTTTTAAACGGGTATTTATTTATAATAAATAAGGTATCAACCTTTGCTATAGGAACAAAGGCAAAATTTTCATTACCATACTGTTAGTTGAGCCCAATCCGTCTAACATCAAATGGCCCAATTTATATCCAATCCCGAGAATGGGCCTACCAAATGCAGCCCAAACCCTATCTTTCCCTTTTTCTCCCCGCTTAATAAAACCACTATAAACCTCTTATAAACCCTAACCCTAGTTGTGCACACTCCACTATCCCAGTTCCCATATAATATAAACATTTGGAGTTACATACAAAAACAGGGGCTGAGACCAAGAGAGAAGTTCAACCTCAAGCAACTTGTACATGACGCTGTATCTACTGTACGAGTCGGCGTCTGGGTACGCGCTGTTCTTGGCTCATGGAATTGATGAAATTGGGCAGAACACGGAGGCGGTTCGCAACTCCATCACTGATCTCAATCGGTTCGGAAAGGTCGTAAAGATCGAAGCTTTTAACCCTTTTGAGTCAGCCCTTGACGCCCTCAATCAATGCAACGCTGTTTCTGAAGGTCAACAACTGTAAAATTTTTGCAGATAGAATTTGTTAATTTTGTTCTCTTGTATAAATTTTATGTACAGTCACGTTTTGGGTGTCTGCATGTGTGGTTTTAGCTTCTTTCATTTAATGGGGTTTTCAGTTTGTTTGAGTTTTGGCTGAGGTAGTGACATTGTGATTGTGTTGCATGGTGACTAAAGTCTCATATTAAAAAAGAGATATTTTTTAATTGTGGTTTCTTTGAAGTAGAACTTTCTGTTTTTTGGTGTTCCAAGATTTTCACGGGGTCAAACTATAGTGCTTTTGATGTATTGCAGGTTATTCTCAATTACTTCTTTTTATTTGTTGCATTAGCTAAGCCTTTATGCTCCAAAAAAGCCCCATGTCCGAAATTCAAAAATTTATAAGATTACAATTGGATGTGATTTAAGTTTTATACATGTGCAATATGTAGAATTCACACTAGTAGTGTGGTTCTACTGCTTGTAGAATTAAACCTTCTTTATTTTCCAGGTCTTAAATCTGCATTCACTAGTGATGTTACCGTTAGTTGTTTTTAAGCAACTTAATAGTGTTAAAATGATGAGAAATGTGGGTGCTTAATGGCCTGTCACGCCGAGTTATTTGACACTTTCTTTTTCATTTCCCCCCTCAGTTTTGTTCTTTTGTTTATTTGGTCTGACTGGATTTTTGGAATTGGGATTTCAGGGCAAATGACTGAGGAGCTAAGGAACTTCTTGGAGCGAAGTCTCCCAAAAGTCAAGGAGGGTAAGAAGGCTAAGTTCAGTCTAGGATTGGCGGAACCTAAGCTTGGGTCTCATATCCATGAAGTAACTAAGATACCCTGCCAAAGTAATGAGTTTATTCTTGAGCTTCTGCGTGGAGTGCGCTTGCATTTTGAGAAGTTCATTGAAAACCTAAAGGTTTGTTTACTTCCTTCGTTTACCAAGGAGTTTATCCTTGCCATAGTCCACTATCAAGTATCCCTAATTTTTTCCTCTCATCTGTTCAAGTGGTTTGGGTCTTCGATGGATATTTTGGCCTTTGTTTTGGAATAAAAATAAAAGGACAGACACTTGAGCCTGTTCAAAATAAAAATAAAAATAAAGGAACAGATACATGAGCCTGATGAAATTTGAGAAACTTCATATAGGTGACTTTTACTTATTCTTTTGCACCTTTTCTCGTAGCCTGGAGATCTGGAGAAAGCCCAACTTGGTCTGAGTCACAGTTACAGCAGAGCAAAGGTCAAGTTCAATGTTAATCGTGTTGACAATATGGTTACTCAGGCAATTGTCCTACTTGATACTCTTGATAAAGATATTAATACCTTTGCCATGCGAGTCAGGTTCGTTTCTTCTTTGTCTTATCTCCACTTTGTGTGCTGTCAGTTTTAACATGATACACCCATAGTATAATCAATTTGGCACTTATGTATAGTCACCTTTTTTATCCTTGGTTTGTAGTCTCTGAATTATTTTTCCGTCAAATACTTGTTGATGCAGAGAATGGTACTCTTGGCATTTCCCAGAGTTGGTGAAGATTGTCAATGACAATTATCTATATGCCAAAGTAGCAAAATTTGTTGATGACAAATCCCAATTGTCTGAAGACAAAATTCCAGACTTAACAGAAATCGTTGGAGATGAAGATAAAGCAAAAGAAATCGTAGAAGCTGCAAAAGCATCCATGGGTATGATATTATCATTTCTCAAGTCATGGAAATGGTGCTTATTCCTTCTGTTAACTTCTTTTGCTCTAATTTCCAGGCCAGGATTTGTCGCCAGTTGACTTGATTAATGTCAAGATGTTTGCACAGAGGNGGAAATACACCAAAATATGGACTCATATTCCATTCTTCCTTCATCGGCCGTGCATCTGCTCGTAACAAAGGTCGAATGGCTCGTTATCTTGCAAACAAATGTTCGATTGCTTCTCGCCTAGACTGTTTCTTAGGTCAGCCTTGTTCCAGCAAACAATTCATCATTCATTACTTGATGGGTTTTCTTTTTCGTGCAAGATGAACTTCTCATGTTTTATCTACAGATACGAGTACTACTACTTTTGGAGAGAAACTCCGTGAACAAGTTGAGGAGCGTCTAGACTTTTATGACAAGGGGGTTGCACCACGGAAAAACATAGATGTGATGAAATCTGCTATTGAAACAGTCGAAGGCAAAGGTGAGTTGTGGGCGAATGGAGCTATTCATCCTAATGAGTTACCATCTGTATACCGTACATTCTAAATTTCCTAAGCTTTGAGGCGAAGATATAGACTTGTGTTGTTCAAACCAATGGAATTGGTACAAAGTGTACCTGCATGGTGCACATTCTTGACAATTTGTTGGCAATATGATGAAAGTTTTAAACGTTGTATCATGCTGCCGTGGTACTTGTTCAGTAAATGCTACTCAAGACTTTATCTGCATGCATGACTACGTATAGACTAAATACGCTTTTGCTTATTGGCTGAACATGTTCGAACTCATTCCTAGAATTTTGCTGGATGTCCTTGTTTTTGCTTCTGCATTGAGGTTGTGTATAACACATTGCTGTGCTGCAGATACAGAAATGGATGTTGATGAGCCTTCAACAAAGAAAAGCAAGAAAAAGAAATCCAAAGTTGAGGTGGTGGAATATGCTCAACCCATGATCGAGGATAAGCCACTTGTCACAAATGGTGATGCCTCTGAAGAACCAAAGTCTGAAAAGAAGAAGAAGAAGCGGAAAACAGAACAGGAGCCAGAGCATGAAGAGGATCAGACCAATGGTGTGCCTGAGGATGGAACAGCAAAGAAGAAAAAGAAAAAGAAGAGTAAGGAGGAAAATGGAGAGGAACTCCAAGCTGCAAGCGAAGTTAAAAAGAAGAAAAAGAAGTCCAAAGTCCAAGATGATGAATAAAGATACAATACTTCTTATTTTGTCTGTCTTCCTCACCTTGCCTGTATGCCCCGCCCTCGACCTCTTTTTGTAATCCTAGGTATTTGTGCCATCTAGTAGTTTTGTTCCTGAACCAAGTTATTGCTAGAGAGAGCCATTGTATGAAACGCTCATCTTCTCTATTATTAACAGATTGGCCTTAGTGATTGCTTTCCTTTGATGTGAGGTTGGTTCACTTGGATTTATTTATTGTATCGGTTCTTGTTTAGATCTTTTTTAATACATAAAATCATGATAAAAAAATTAAGTTATTGTGAAATCAATCTTGCTGAATTGTTTTTTGTTTTTAGTTAGGTCTTTTGAAACAGATGAAAATCATGAATAAAGAATAAATCTGTATCCTTAAACTTCATGCTACAGTATACTTCTAGGGCAGGGCCGCCACAAAAACAACCCTGTTTTTCTTCTTGTTTTTGTGTTTATTGCGGAATCCTTATAATCATTAGAAGTTTCAGCAAATCTGACCCGTACGTATATGGCTAAACTGATGACTTTTGTTTACAATGTCTAATGGTCTTGATCTTTCAAACACATGGCTGCCGCAGGTATACTGCCCAACCAAGTTGAGTCCCTCTTTGTACACAACAATCCATTACAGGCATAAGATTGAAGTGAAATTGGACCCCAAAGCTCAAAAAATGTAAGATCATAATGTATGGAGAAGTTCTTGGTTAAAACAAAGAGACGTTAATGTTTAGCTGACAGTAATGGCTCCATGAGATCAGGGGATTTGTTGACAAAGTTCCAAGATTTGTAGATACAAGTATATTGAAGATGATATCAATTGGAAGGCGCATGCGCTTCTCCTCCATCTTTACTTATAGTCAGTTTAGCTGAATCGCTCGCAATAAGCTACTCTACTCATTGCCTTAAGTTTTTGAATTGGATAGACATTGAGGTCAAGCTTTAAAACCTGATAAGATAAATATGCTAGAAAAGTCCAACTAAAAGCCTTCAAATTTAACACTCAAAATCATAATAGCTAGAGACAGACATATCTGTTATTCTGAAATGTATTTTGAGGGTGGCATACATTAAATGTAATTGCTGCTTGATAAGTTTCCTAGTTATAGTCTGACATATTTCTTTTCAGCGCCTTCTCCAGAAATGGCTCACGAGCAACACGTAGGGGACGATATGTAGGAGGAAGCCGAACAGAACAAGTATTCTTTGAACTAGCATCTTTTAAAACAACATCCCAAAATGGATTGACAATATCTTTCTCTCCCCTTGCATCTTCACAACTTGGTTCTCCTATTTGCACATTTGGCCCTTCAACATGCAGAATTTTGAGCCCAAACTCCACAATTCTGATTCCATCTCCTGAGGTAACTGTGATCTCCAGTATATCATCACTGCCCAACTGATTCTCAAGTTTCCAATGGCTTAACCACATCATTCCTTCTTTCCCTTCCGGAACTCCATAGAACAAGGGCTGGTAAGACCATTTCACACTCCGAGTTAAGTTATTAACAGTAATGCACGGGCAGTCAAAGGTTGATTCATATGGTTTATTTTCCACTGGCCGATACCGAATGGGTCCTCTTTGAGCTTTGTGCATGGCAAGAGGAGCTATTCTTGAAGGCGGAGTTAGGCGCGGGGGACGATGAGCACTTAGACCAAATACGGAACGCTTGTACACAATGCAAAAACTCAAGCCTTCAATCGTGGAAGTACAAGTAGGCACTTTGAAGGATGTATGTGATTCTTTTGTGTATTTTGAGCTGAACCAAGAAGGTACATGTTCACCTGGCAGAAAAGTGCTAAAGACACCTGGTTGGTACAGTACCTGCAAAAAGTAATAGATGAACTTTTAATTGTTCTTGTCTGTGTAAATATTCAAGGTGTGTCTTGCAGCAAGCCCCGTTATCCTGATAGCTAATTTAGTCACTAAAGCAAAGAAAGAATATTTATCAACCAAGAAACTGTAAGCAAAATCTGAAGCTTAAAAAAAAAAGAAAAAAAGAAGGGCAGCCTGGTCCACTAAGCTTCCGCTATGCGCAGGGTTCGAGGAAGGGTCGGATCACAAGGGTCTATTGTACGCAGCCTTACCCTGCATTTCTGCAAGAAGTTATTTCCACGGCTTGAACCCGTTATGCCAAGGCTCCCCTGTTAGCAAAATCTGAAGCTTAATATTCACAAAACTGAAACAATGAAAGAACGAGCAAGACATACCTGAAGAACAACTTTCTTTGTCTTCCTTGTTGGAGTCCATCCTTTACCATGTATTCGGTAGTAACTCAGGATATTAGATGTAAGATTGATCATGACATTATCCATAGAAGCTAAGTTCGACAAGCCCAACTTGCAAAGCATCTCTGCCTCAGTATTTCTTAAGGGCTCTAACTTGAAATTTCCATCTATTTCAACTAATTTAGCACAATTCGACACAAGTAAATCCTTCAGTCTAGATGATCTTGATTGATATGATATTTTCTCTAACGACCAGCAATTAGTAACATTGAGATGTTCTACATTGGGAAGCCCTACGAGCGATCTGAGCTTTTCACAGCCTTCCACTTCAAGCTTCTGAAGACCGGTGAGATAAATTATGCCCTTTGGTAGGCAGCAAATTGGATTTTCGCTCAAATCTAAGTTTTGCAATAAGGAGAGGCTACTGAAAGCAACTGGAAAAGCATCATTGGATAGATTACAGTTAGCAAGACTCAGAGTAACCAAGGAATTAGGTAAACTAATATGTGAAACTTTAGGACATATTTTCCCCTTCAGCATCCAGGACCGCAGAAATCCATACCACGGTTGGACCTCTTCTGGAGTAGAAATCATTTGGTGAACTGCAATTTCATCAGCATAAAGCTCTCTCAGTGAATCCATTTTATCTAGATCCATCGGCACATATTCAAGATTCAAGCAACCAGAGATATTTAGTGTCACCAGACATTTTAGCATGCAAATGCTATCTGGAAGTCTCTGGAGATTTTTGCAATTTTTGAGATTCAAAAGAATAAGTGATTCTAGACACCCGATGGTCTCATGAAGCTCAATCAAGCTTGTACAATATCGAAGGATCAACTTTTCAAGATTGGGGAGTCCTGAAAAATCAGGTGTTCTTAGAAGCTCGTAGGAATGGCTGAGATCGAAAATCTTCAGATCTTTAAGGAACTGAATGACCAAAGATAGAAATGAAAACCGAGTTAGACAAAACTAAGTTTCTGCTAAAGCTTAAAGAATGAAGCACATTATAACACACCTTGACTCCATGCCAAATCCTCCTCAAGCTGCTACGGTGTAATTCAATCACTACAAGGCTCTCCAGAGGAAAATCAATTGGCATGCACTCAAGTTGCAGCTCAGACCAGCGCAACCATCTTAATCTCTTAGGAAAAACATCAAAAGATCCTTGAAGCTCAACGTGATCGAATTGGAGCAGTTTTAACTTTTGCATATTTGCAAATACATCAGTTCCCAGAACCAGCTCATTTGTGGCTTCTTTGGCATCTGACAAATGCCATGGGAAAAAAACAAACCTTTTCTGTTTGAATTGAACTCTCTGAGGATTAGGATAGTTGAGAAAGTTTTTTATTTTGTGTTTCTTGAAATCCTTGGCGAAAAAGCTTGAGCTAACTATGTCACTTTCCTTGAGCATATCCATGTCAAGAATAATGCCTTGAATTGTTTGAGTGGCCTATTCAGAGAGAGGAAAGAAAATGATGAGTAAAGGCAAGTAGGCATTAAGTAGGGGATGCAAAAAATATGATGAACATAAACAGGTCTTTTCAGCTTGCACTTTTCCCAAACTATACATTCAGATAATTACTTTAATATTCTAACCAGGTTCAAAGACCATGATTATTTTTATAAAGTAGTTGTTTATACAAATTCAGACAAGCTTTTTGATTTTTAATACCTAGCATATGTTCACTTTGCTTTAACAAATATTTTTGCACTACCATTCACTATAGGCCCAAAAAGAAGTGAAGGATACTTAGAAATGAGAACTTGACTCCAGAGGACGGATTTAGATATTCTTGGAAGAATAAGAAATCATTAGTTCAATAAATGAAATTTTACAAATATTGCTGGTTCAAGAAGATATAACTGTGAACCAAAGGTACTCCTCATCTTCAACCCATTTCATTAAACTTAATGAGAACTACGTTAACTGCTGAATCAACACGCATAGCAATAATTTTAGCAAAGAATCAGCTATCAGTGAAAAGCAACTTAATTTCATTGAATCCCTACTATAGGAGCCATATAAGAGAGCATTCCTTACACGGTTCTGGATTAAGACGTTAAAGGAATCCTTTGAACGCCATAGTCTAGAGCGTTTCCCAGGCTCCAGTGGTGATTCTTGGCGAACAATGTCTCTTCCCATATCTCGAATCATTTGATGCATAATCAAGCTGTTAGACTTACCAACTTTTATAAAATTTCTGTCAATGAGATTCTCAATTCCAATTACAGTGTAAAAGTTGCACCTATTGAGAATAGCTACTGCTAGATCTCTGTCCTTCCCAATGAAAAAGCAAGCTAGGTGGAGAAATAAATTCTTATCATGATCATCCTCAAGAGATTCGTAACTTATTGTTAATTTCCTGAGAATTTGATGATTCGGAATTGTTTCCAATTTCTGTATTGTACTTTTCCAAATGTCTATGTTTCTTCCTGCCAAAGTAGCACCAAGAACTTCAAGTGCTAATGGAAGTCCTCCACAATGGATTGCTACTTGTTCTGAACACATTTCAAAACCTTTAATAGGACAATCTTGACCAAATGCATGCCAACTTAAGAGCTCAACCGATTCATCTCTATTCAATGCTTCAAACTCATAAATCTTATGCACATCAAAAGGCCTAAGCAATCTCTTGTTCCTAGTTGTCACAATGACTTTACTACCAGGATATAACAAGTCCTTCATTCCCAGTAGAGCATCCACTTGATCACGATTATCTACATCATCAAGAACAAGAAGGATTCTTTTACACTGTACAGCCTCTCTCATCTCAGTCATTCCCTCGTCCACGGAAAACATAGCTTTCTTCTTTCTTTTGCAAATATCAGAAAGAAATTGCCTTTGAAGAGTAACTAAACCTTTACGGTGTGTTGAATTTTCTCTAATGTTGGACAAAAAGCTGCTACCATCAAACTTACTGAAGTTCAAATTATACACAAACTTTGCCATTGTTGTCTTGCCTATTCCACCGATGCCACAAATAACAAGAGTGTCAACATCAATAGATCCATCCTCTAGCCACAAGTTGATCTTTTCAACACGCCGTTCTATTCCAATCAGATGAGGGCAAATATACAGGACTGGCCTGCTCAGTTTATTCTCAACCACTTTAAGAATCTTCTGGATGAATTTGGACTCGTGTCTGAAATTGTTTAACAAAATGGAAAAGTAACCAAAGAAAAGTTACTCTGTAAGATTTTGGAATCGAGAACCAAATCATGCTACATGAATGATGGAAACACAGAGGCCTAATAGAGTGTACATAAATTGTTACCCGAAGCACTATGATAAAATATATTAAGCAATTAGAATTAAGATAATGGTATGGAAAAGTCTAATAAAGATTAGAGCTTCTCCTTTGTCCACAAGGAAGTGAAGAAAAAAATGGAACCAAAAGGTCTTTCTTTTTTTCTGTATCTTTTTACTCCATTTGTTTCAATTTATGTGAACCTATTTACTTTTTAGTCTGTGCCAAAAAGAATGACCACTTTACTTATTTGGAAACAATTTGACTTTATGCAATGATTTATAGCCACACAAAATATATGTGCCTCATTTTACACCACAAGTTCAAAAGTCTTCTCTCTTTTCTTAAACTCTGTGCCCAATCAAATGAGTTTCCATAAATTGAAACGGAGGGAGTACATTGAAGTACCATCTTGTTTAGAGGCACTTCTTCTTTTCCCATTTCACAAGGGGAGTATTTACTTGGTTAACAATTGAAATGTTCAGGACTCTAGTGTTTGATTGAGAGGCATAATTGCTTCAAGTCTGTAGATGTCTGGAGACAGATCTTGAAATATCAAACATAGCAGACACTCCAAGTTTCTATCAGTTTAAGTTTCTACTATATTGGCATATCTTTGACAGATTCTGACTATCAGGTAAATCATCTTCCCCTTCATAATTTAGTTTAATACTCAAGAAAATGTCACAGGTGTATTTAAAGTTAGTGAACTCACCCATCAGCTTGGTTTTGTAAGACCATTCCTCCCAAGTCTGCAACTTCTTTGAGTGCTTCCCTCCATTTTCTGACCCTCTCATTTTCACCTTGATTCCCTCCCAGTTCTTTGTCCATATCAAATGCTTCTCCAATTCTTCCCTTCTGTTTCCTAACATCAGAAGGATCCACGTGGTAAAATATGGGCAGAACTGCACGTTTTGCTATCTTTTTACAATCCAAGATCATTACCAACTCATCAAGACACCAACTTGAGGACACGTAATCATTTGAGAAGATTATAACTGAAACCCCAGATTCTTTAATACCCTTTTGCAAATTGAACTTGATATCTTCACCTCCCTCATTTTCATCACCACAGCTTCTTAATGTTACAAAACCTGCTCCCACCAGAGCTTCATAGAGGTGATCTGCAAAAATTTTGCCGGTGTCTTTCGCTTTGAAACTCAAGTACACTTGAGACTTCAGTTCAGTGGCCATAGAGCAAAACTCAAGAAACTGGAATTGATGATTTCAGGCTACCAAAATTCACAGCTAAAGTTTACATAAAGAAGGAGGGAGAAGGAAAGTCAACGTTTTTACCCAAGAAATAATAAAAACAAAGACTTTCAGATTATTGTTTTGGGATTGTCGTCGGGGTCCGGAACCTAAACGTGGTTACCGAAATGAGTGAAAAAATAATAATATTGTGACCAAATTATAGTATAACGCTTTTTATAAAGACGCTATGGTCTAACTTTAACAAGATTGTCAACGGCGCTATACATATTTTGTGGGCCCATCAATAACTCTTCTGTGCTTAACTGAGATAATAATAATTCAAATGGGTATAGCGTCCTTCGACCCCTCGGATTGAGCATTGCCTTATTTAAAGGCGTTAAGAATTTTGTAAAAATCAATTCAGAAATATTCTCAACTCCTGTTATTTTTTTCTTCTTGTTAAATTCTCAAGTATTTTGTCATAATGCCTGAAGAGCGAAAAGTAAGGGTTTCATTATATTGGGGGGAGGGGGGGGAGAGAAGTTGTGGTGGCGAATAACTCAGTGAGCTATAGTTTATCTCCATAGTGTCATGTTAAGTTGCTACTTACAATGGAGTACGATAGACTGGTATCGTTGTTGTGTAACAAAATGAGTGTGAGCAAACGTTCGGTGAACCTTAAAGTAACCGGAAGATATTCGTATTCTGTCACTCCGCAAGGGGTTGCTTGTTACGTTGAGTTTAACATCGAGGATGATGAAACTTTGAGTTATTTTTTGAGGACTCCGAATGAATACCGAGAATTTCTTTTGATAAAAATGTTGGGAATGTACGTGAAGGTTGAAGACGTTCGCAATAATGAGGTTGTGCAAAGCAGGGATAACCATCAGTCATCGGGTGGTTATTCTGGAGCAGTTTTTGCCTAACAGGTTCCGGCTGAAAGAGTTTAGCCTGATTTAAACTTATCTCCACGGGCGAATGAGGAGCGAGGAAATCATTTCTCTCATACTTTACATAATCCACAAGACGAGTGGTAAACTTCAATTTTCCTTTGTGTTACGATGTTTATTTTTGTTATATTGAATTTGTATTAACACTCATATATTTCATAGGGGGTACCAGCCAGATATGAATTTTACAAGTTATGAACCCACGCCTAGTTGGAATATGCGTAGTTCTGGTGTGTTGGATCATGGTGGTCCATCCGGGAGTTATCACCAACATGATAATGTCCATCATGGGATGTCAACACATTACGACTTGTAAGTGAAGTGATATAGCTATATGTAAAGTATTTATCAATTTGAGTAGCTCATTATTTTATTGTTTGTGCAGTGAAAAAGAGCAAGCTGAACCTCCTGTCCTGACTCAATTTCCTGAGGACGACATATTTAATCGGGATCTGGCAGATGCACAGAGTCAGGAAGAGAACAGTGATTATGACAACAATGCCGATGAGTCCGGAGATGACACACCCTTCCCTGATGAGGGTGGTGATGAGGAGGAAGAGAATGCTGGACCTGATTTGACTAGAGAGCATGCTCCACCCCCATTAGACCAAGAGTGTACGAGTCCCAAGTGCCGTTTCATTCAAGGGAGATTCCCTACCTTGATCATTTGCCAAGTATGCTGGATGTGGATGCCCTCACAAGGGATATTGATGAAATTCGGACAATAATGTGGGATGAGTCTAGACCAATGGTGCTGGCAAAGGGCATGCTTTTTCCTGATAAAACGCGCCTAAGCAGGGCGGCAAAAATGTACAGCGTAAAAGAGTGTCGTGAGATGACGGTATGGGAGTCAACTCCGGATGTATAAAAGGTTGTTTGCCGTAGATAGTTCACGGGTTGTCATTGGATGCTGCGTGCGAGCAAGAAGAAAACAGGTATGTGGAAAGTGGGTAAATACATTGGCACCCACACTTGTGAAATTGACACATTCAGTGGGAATCACTTCAACTTGGATGTTGACTTGATTTCTCTTGTCCTGATTCCACACATTGAAGCGTCCATAAGGTACAAGATCAAAAAGTGCATTACATCCGTCCATCAGGAATATGGCTGTACTATTACCAAAAGAAAGGCATTTCTCGAGCGGTGCAAACGTGCATTTGAAATTGTTTATGGTAACTGGGATAAGTCATTTGCAGCTCTACCCAAGTACATGGCCACATTGCAATACTTTAACCCCAGGACCGTTGTTGAATGGAAACTTGAGCGGAGTCCGGGAATACCAGAATATATATTCAAATACGTGTTCTGGGCATTTAAACCAGCAATTGATAATTTTCTGCATTGCCGGCCGGTAATATCCATAGACTGCACTCATGTCTATGAAACGTATGATATTAAGCTGTTGATCGTCGTTGTAGTAGATGCTAATGGAAGTATATTTCCTTTAGCTTTTGCTATTTGTGCCAATGAAAGCCAAGAGACGTGGACACTATTTTTGAACCACTTGAAAGAGCACGTTGTCAAACAACGTTCAAGTATTTGTCTAATATCTGATCGGCATGGTGGTATTATAAGTTTTGTAGAGAATTTTCCTGCATGGAAAGAACCGTATGCCTACCACCGTTACTGTGTGAGGCACCTGAAGGCCAATTTCCTGAAGGCACATCCCAACAAAGATTTTCATGATTTAATGTGGATGGCTGCAACAGATCACCAAGAACATAAATTCCGGAGGCACATGGAATCTATCAGGCAGGAAGACGAGACAGCCTATCGTTGGTTGATGCGACATAAGCCTAAAAAGTGGACTTTGCATGCGGATGGTGGCAGAAGATGGGGAATTCTGACTACAAATGTGTCAGAGTATTTCAACGGGTTATTGAAGTCTGCACGAGGATTGCCTGTCACTGCCATGGTGCGAATGTCATTCAAGCGGATGGTGTAGAGGTTTGTTAAAAGGGCTGCAGCTGTAACGTCATTGATGGAAATGGGTGTTGAATTTATGCCACTACTAATGAAAAGATTTGAGAAATACAGACGGCGAGCACATTGGCATTCATTTTTAGAGTATGATCACGACCGAAATATTTTTGAAGTTTGCACCGCTATCCATCAAAACCGGGGGAATAATGTACACACCATAAATGAATCTAGAAGGTTATGCTCTTGTGGGAAATGATCCATCTACCACATGCCGTGCTCACATGCCATCAAGTGCTTTTAACATACAGGTTTAGGGCCAACCAACTACATTGATAAATAATATAGTATTGCTACATACTTAAACACCTATAGTGGGCAGTTGCAGCCAGTGGGTGCCAAGCATTATTGGCCACCGGAACCATTTAAAATGGTGTGTAACAAGGAGTTTTTGCGTTAGCGACAAGTGCAAAAACGAACGCGTATACAGAACCAAATGGATGTTGGTGATACCGTTTATGTACGCAAATGTGGTATATGCTCGCAAATAGGACACGACAGTCGAAAATGTCCTTCAACTGGTTTGGGTGGCTGTGGTAATCCAGCTCCTGGTAGAAGTTTATCTAATGTGCCCAACTATCAAGGCTACACGTAGTGTTTTATTTCCGTAATGTGGTTGTAATAAGTGTATGTACTTGTTTATGTTGCAAAATGTATCAAATAAAATTATGTTTCCATTGTTGTTAAATTTTATTGATATTTAACATTATCAGTGAAGTAAATTAATGAATTTCTCCCTCCCGTTCATGTTATCAAAAATAGTATTAGATTAAAAAATCAAACTTATTACGTTGACTTTCGAATTTCAATCTAAAATTATTAGACTTTCGAATTTCAATCTAAAATTATTAGNTACTACGTTATGTGTGTTGTCTTGTCGACCTGAAAAGCTGCCCGCCTGCAAAAGCTGTATTGTATCCGAAAGAATCTTTAACACGCGAAACATAGCGCCATTAAATAATACGTTATGTGTATTGCCTTGCCTATAAATAACTAGTGCATTTTATTTATTATCTGCGCTTAACCAAAACAAATAGCAAAACTTTCCATAAAAGCAGGGATTTTTTTTGCATTAACAAATGTCTGGACGCAATTATGTACCAATGTGCTATTGTGAAAAACGTTGTATGGTGAAGGATTGTTGGTCCGATGGTCATGTTGGGCGCAGATACTAGATGTGTGTAAACAGGTTTGGAGGCAATGACGAAAATTATTGTAATTTTGAGGTATGGCTTGATGAACCCATTAAGTAGAAATGCTACAAACAATCTTTGCAGTATATTTGGGATATGAACTGTGAATACCAACGCCGTGAGTCTGAAATGAAATGAGAAATTGCGGCATTGCAGGAGAAACTAAAAGAGGCGGAAGAAGACAAAAATAGGCTGGAAGAGAAATTAAAGTGGTTGGAGCAGAGAATACTAGGCGGTAGTGACTAAACAATGACATGTATGTGTTGAGTGTAGTATTTTATCTTTATGCTTTCCGTGTCATGTATTTTCGTTAGTTGTACTGATTTAAATTATGTTAAGTTGCTATGTTTGTGTTTGTATTGTAGTATTAAAATAACGAAGAACCGGAAAAATAAAAACATAATGCGCATATAATGTAAACAATAAAAATTGTTGCTATTATTTACATAAAATAATATTTACATAAAATACAAAAGAAAAATCAATGGATCCCATAGCCTGTGTGCTTCAATGCAGCGGATGGCCTGAGGCGCATCCCATCCCGCCCGGCTATGCTATCAGGATCATCCTCATCAAGTCGCCTCTTTATCGTAGGATGCGTTGCAGCATGATCGTCAATAGTGATGGCAGGCTCGGTAGAAGGGGCCGTCGGTCCAGCAGTAACCTATAGAAGAATAAGTCAGCTCAGTCTATGAAAATATATATTAGTAATGTATGTGTTAAGTCATAAAAATTTAAATTGTCTTACCATGGTCTAGTCGGGCTCCTCAATATAATCATCCGTCGCAGCCAGGTCAGATCGCACAAAGTGGCCTCCGTGACGGGCGAGGATGAAGCCTTAATAAGAAAAACATAAAGATATTTATGGCTAATTAGTGAGATAAAAACAAATTTAAATTTAATAGTAATACAAACATACCTGTGCCTGTGAAAGATCCCCAGCACCCCTCGATGATGAGCCATAACTCAGCCGGCGCCCACTATCCACATCTCGGGTCGGCCGATCATCAGTACCGGTCGATGGTCCTGGAAAGTACTGATCT